TCTTCCCAATCTTTTAATGCACTGTTCCCTTTGCCTGGAATTCTCTTCCCCAAGAATCTGCAGGGCTTGATCACCTACTTGCTTCACATCTCTGCCCAAGTATGACCTTAATAGTGAGACTGTTCCCATCACTCTATGGACAAAAAAAAAAAAAAAAAAAATTCTGTGTTCTTGTCACATCTTTCTTTCTCATCTTCTTTAATTTTTTCTATAGCATTTATTATGATCTGATATCGACTTATTTGCTGTTGTTTTCATTTGATTATTGACTGCCGCTGCATTGGAATAGAGGTTGGCACTTTGTTTTATTCACCGCTACACACCAGTGCTAGAACAGCACCTGGCACTGAATAAATGTTTAATGGGTGGATTTGGGGAACATGGCTGTCTCACCTGCAAACTTTTATTTATTTATTTATTATAAAGATGTGGGGTACAATTTAGGGTTAGGTATATAAACATTGATCATGCAGGTACCCTTGTTGATGAGGTATGCCCCTCCCTCCCTTAGCAGTTTCCTCAACTGCCAATCCCATCCCCCTGTCCTGGCAGTTTCCCACTACTGCCAATCCCTTTCTTATAGTATTATAATTGTTCAAGGTCCACTTATGAGTGAGAACATATGGTACTCTCTTCTTTGTTTCTGTGATAGATCAATGAGTATAATCGACTCTAAATTCATCCAAGTTGCTGCAAAGTCCATGTTTGTCCTTCTTTAATGGCTGCATAATATTCCATTGTGTATATGTACCACATTTTTTTAATCCAGTCCAGCTTCAATAGGCAACACGGTTAGTTCCGTGTTTTTGTTATTGTGAATAGAGCTGCAACAAACATACATGTGCAGGTATTTTTTTGGAGAATGACTTGAGTTCCTCCGGGTATATTTCCAATAGGGGAATTGCTGGGTCATATGGAAGGTCAATTTCTAGTTCTTTCAGAAAGTGCCACATTGTCTTCCAGAGAGGTTGCACTAGTTTGCATTCCCCCCAGCAGTGTAGAAGCGTTTCTTTTTCTTTGCATTCTTGCCAGCATCTGTAGTTGTTTGTTTTATTAATGATGGCCATTCTTACTGGGGTTAGGTGGTATTTCAGTGTGGCTTTGATTTGCATTTCTCTGATTAGTGAGACTGAGCACTTTTTCACGTGTCTGTTGGCTGCCCGTATATCATCTTTTGAGAAGTGCTTATTCATGTCTTTTGCCCACTTTTTAATGGGGCTATTTGTTTTTTTCCTTTCGGCGCATTTGAGATCCTTGTCACCTGCAAACTTTTAACAACACTTGGTCTCTATAGCAGGTCTTTGGTTAGCAATGTTATAGTATTAGTTTAGTCCTTGGGTCTGTATCTTTTAAAAATTTTTATCTATTTATCTATTTTGGTTTTTTTGTTTGCTTTATTTTTTTGAGTTAGAGTCTCACTCTGTAACCCAGGCTAGAATGCAGTGGCATGCTCATGGCCACTGCAGCCTCGACCTGCTGGGCTCAGTCGATCCTTCTGCCTCAGTCTTCCAGGTACCTGGAAACACAGGTGTGCGCCACCATGCCCGGCTAGTGTTTTGATTTATTGTGGAGACTAGATCTCGTCATGTTGCTCAGGTTGGTCTCAAACCCCAGGGCTCAGGTAATCCTCCCACCTCAGTCTCCCCGAGCAGCTGGGACTACAGGCTCATGCCACCATGTCTGGCTAATTTTTAAATTTTTTTAGAGGCAAGGTCTTGCTATGTTGCCCAGGCTGGTCTTGAACTCCTAGGTTCTAGTGATCCTTCTGCCTTGGCCCCCCCAAATGTCCACACTTAAAACAATATTGGTACAGTATTAACCCTGATTGTCCTAGTCACTCCTTCTCATTATCCAGATAAAGTGTTTTATGTATTAAGGAATGACAACTGACTGGGAGCAGTGGCTCACAACTGTAATCCCAGAACTTTGGGAGGTTGAGACAAGGAGGATCACTTGAATCCTGGAGTTCTAGACCAGCTTGGGCAACATAGCAAGACCTTGTCTCTACCAAAAACATAAACAAAAAATAAAAAATTACAGCAACATTGCCCAAACATACATTTTGTCACTGAATTTTAATGCAATCAATTGGGTCCCTTGGCTGGGCATGGTGGCTCATGTCTGTAATTCCAGTACTGTGGGAGGCAGAGGCGAGGGGATTGCCTGAGCCCACAGATTCGAGACCAGCCTGGGCAACTTGGCAAGACCTAGCCTCTATAATAAACCAAAAAAAAAAAAAAAAAAGCCAAGTGTGGTGGCACACACCTGTAGTTCCAGCTGCTTGGAAGGCTGAGGCATAAGGATCATCTGAGTCCAGCAGGTCGAGGCGGTGGTGGCCATGAACATGCCACTGCACTCCAGCCTGGATGACAGAATGACTCCAACTTAAAAAAAAAATCTGGTACCTCAGGCAATGGATACACAGAGAGGGAATGATTCTCAAAATGCTGTTCAGAAAGGTTGAACTGGAACCGGAAGTGTATGCCACACCCAGACTCTGCCCTCTTTCTTGGTCATGACCTTGTCAGCACTAAGTCACAAGTAGATAATAATACAGAAGGAAGGGTTATGGGAGATAAGATTTTTTTTAAAAAGGTCATTAAGTCAGTTCTCTCTCTCGATGAAAGGTCTTCTAGCGGGAAAATAGGCTATTATAGGAAGTGGCAACTTTATTACACCGGTCGGTGGGCTCGATGGGCTAATGCTTCCAGGTTGAGCCCCCCAGAACAGGAGAAGTGGTGTCTTATACCTTCGTTTAGGTAAGGGAGGGGGGTTGTGTTGAGTGATTACCCATCTTCTTTAGAATTTACAAGGTTGTACTCAGCAAAATCAGATTTCCAAAGAACAAATGGTTTCCAGGAAATGCAGGGCAAATAGGTTTATAAACTGTCAACTTCAAAACAGGGGTTTTGGATAAGTCTGTGAATCAATTACTCTTTTGCATTTCCATGAAAACCGCCAGTCCTTGGCTATTTGGCTTTTTTTTTTTTTGAGTTGGAGTCTCACTCTGTCGCCCAGACTGGAGTGCAGTGGCCACTCCCGGCCACCACAGCCTCAACCTGCTGGGCTCCAGCAATCCTTCCGCCTCAACCTTCCGAGTAGCCGGAATTACAAGCATGCGCTACCACGCCCGGCTGATTTTTTGATTTATTGTAGAGATGAGGTCTCGCCAAGTTGCCCAGGCGGGTCTCAAACCCGCGGGCTCAGGCAATCCACTCACCTCAGCCAACTTTAAACTTTAAAAGAGGGGTTTTGGATAAGTCTGTGAATCAATTACTCTTTTGCATTTCCATGAAAACCGCCAGTCCTTGGCTATTTGGCTTTTTTTTTTTTTGAGTTGGAGTCTCACTCTGTCGCCCAGACTGGAGTGCAGTGGCCACTCCCGGCCACCACAGCCTCAACCTGCTGGGCTCCAGCAATCCTTCCGCCTCAACCTTCCGAGTAGCCGGAATTACAAGCATGCGCTACCACGCCCGGCTGATTTTTTGATTTATTGTAGAGATGAGGTCTCGCCAAGTTGCCCAGGCGGGTCTCAAACCCGCGGGCTCAGGCAATCCACTCACCTCAGCCAACTTTAAACTTTAAAAGAGGGGTTTTGGATAAGTCTGTGAATCAATTACTCTTTTGCATTTCCATGAAAACCGCCAGTCCTTGGCTATTTGGCTTTTTTTTTTTTTGAGTTGGAGTCTCACTCTGTCGCCCAGACTGGAGTGCAGTGGCCACTCCCGGCCACCACAGCCTCAACCTGCTGGGCTCCAGCAATCCTTCCGCCTCAACCTTCCGAGTAGCCGGAATTACAAGCATGCGCTACCACGCCCGGCTGATTTTTTGATTTATTGTAGAGATGAGGTCTCGCCAAGTTGCCCAGGCGGGTCTCAAACCCGCGGGCTCAGGCAATCCACTCACCTCAGCCAACTTTAAACTTTAAAAGAGGGGTTTTGGATAAGTCTGTGAATCAATTACTCTTTTGCATTTCCATGAAAACCGCCAGTCCTTGGCTATTTGGCTTTTTTTTTTTTTGAGTTGGAGTCTCACTCTGTCGCCCAGACTGGAGTGCAGTGGCCACTCCCGGCCACCACAGCCTCAACCTGCTGGGCTCCAGCAATCCTTCCGCCTCAACCTTCCGAGTAGCCGGAATTACAAGCATGCGCTACCACGCCCGGCTGATTTTTTGATTTATTGTAGAGATGAGGTCTTGCTGCCCAGGCGGGTCTCGAACCCGCGGGCTCAGGCAATCCACTCACCTCAGCCTCCCAAAGGCTCGGGATTATAGGCTGAGCCACCGATCCCGGCTGCTATTTGGCTTTTTTAAACAAAACCAGCCTGGCTGGTCTTTAGAGCTTGCCGCTTGACTTTCAAAAGGAAATACCTTTAACTGCTACCAGCCCCCTTTCTGCCACAGGGTTAGTGGGAGACAATTTGTCATCCCAGGTGATTTCCATAGGGCCAACTGCTGACCCCGAAGCAGTTATTCATGCGTTTCTGCATTCATTCACTCATCATACAAGAAAAATATTTGAGCATTTGCCACATTCTGCCAGTCTAATTTTATCATTGTGAGAAAGAGGATTGTATACCCTGTTCAATGTTTTTGTTTTTTTGTTTTTTTGTTTTTTTTGAGTTGGAGTCTCACTCTGTCACCCAGACTGGAGTGCAGTGGCCGAACCTCGACCTGCTGGGCTCCGGTGATCCTTCTGCCTCAGACTTCCAAATAGCTGAAACTACAGGCGTGTGCTACCACACCCAGTTAATTTCTGATTTTATTGTAGAGATGAGGTCTCACCAAGTTGCCCGAGGGGGTCTCGAACCTGTGGGCTCAGGCAATCCACTCACCTCAGCCTCCCAAACTGCTGGGATTACAGGCTGAGCCACCAAGCCCGGCTCCCTGTTCAACTTTTAAAAAAATAACACAAGGTTATGATCCATTGCTGAAATTCTCCCTTTTATTCCAATTCACCAGTTTCATGGTGTGGTTTGGTATGTTTTTGCCTTATTCACAGAAAATTATCAGAAGAGCCTCAGCCTGAGGCCTCCCCATGGATGAGTCGAACGGGACATCACTTGTTGAGGAATCCATGAACGCCTCGGCCAGCAGAAACGCCTCCCTGGGGAACACAGGTCGGCAAATCCCAATTGTGCACTGGGTAATTATGAGCATTTCCCCACTGGGGTTTGTTGAAAATGGGATTCTCCTGTGGTTCCTCTGCTTCCGGATGAGAAGAAATCCCTTCTCAGTCTACATTACCCACTTGTCGATTGCAGACATCTCGTTACTCTTTTGTATTTTCATCCTGTCTATTGACTATGCCTTAGACCACGAGCTCTCTTCTGTCCACCACTACACAATTGTCACATTATCAGTGACTTTTCTGTTTGGCTACAACACCGGCCTCTATCTGCTGACAGCCATCAGCGTGGAGAGATGCCTGTCTGTCCTCTACCCCATCTGGTACCGATGCCATCGCCCCAAGCACCAGTCAGCATTCGTCTGTGCTCTCCTGTGGGCACTTTCTTGCTTGGTGACCACCATGGAGTATGTCATGTGCATTGACAGTGGAGAAGAGAGTCCCTCTCGAAATGATTGCAGGGCTGTTATCATTTTTATAGCCATCCTGAGCTTCCTGGTCTTCACACCCCTCATGGTGGTGTCCAGCACTATCTTGGTGGTGAAGATCCGGAAGAATACGTGGACGTCTCATTCCTCGAAGCTGTACATCGTCATCATGGTCACCATCATTATCTTCCTCATCTTCGCCATGCCCATGAGACTGCTTTACCTGCTCTACTATGAGTACTGGTCAACGTTTGGGAACCTGCATCACATTTCCCTTCTCTTCTCCACAATCAATAGCAGCGCCAACCCTTTCATTTATTTCTTTGTAGGCAGCAGTAAGAAGAAGCGGTTCAAGGAGTCTTTAAAAGTGGTCCTGACCAGGGCTTTCAAAGATGAAATGCAACCGAGGCGCCAGGAAGACAGCTGTAACACCGTCACTGTTGAGACTGTCGTCTAGGGACTGCGGAGGGAAATTGTGGATAAACATGGTGGAACGCGGATCGTTTTGGGGTTGTGCTTGGAATGCAATTTAAGTATCTCCTATGTATGATACAGAAGGACACCTCATCTCCGCATGCATGAGATACTAATTAATAAAGAGATTGTACATTTGTACTGTATCTTCAGGAAATACATATCAGACCTCTGTCATTTCTGTATTTATTAAGCACTCTTTCTGTTCGTCTCAGCTCTCCAGACAGCATTTTATCACCAACCATAATAAACGACTCTAGTTGGAAGATTTACAGATGTGTACAACAAACAGTAACAAAAGGATTTGTTGGAACTTGAGGAGGCAGCCGGAGGTAGTGGGAAGAACAAGTGTTTCTACCTGTATGACCTCAGGCAAGTGGTTTAACCTCTCTGAGCCTCACTTCTTCATTTGTAAAATGGTCACAGTAATAGTCTCTTCCTCTCAGGGCTGTTGTGAAGATGAGATGAGACAATGAGGTTTGCAAAATACCTGGCACATTGTTGATATTCAAAAAACATCAGTCTCTCCTCACTCCTTTAAGTGGCAAACAAAATATAGATTTCTGTTTTGTGAAGCACACATACACACATACACACACAGGGACATACACACAGCTCTATCTTGTACAAAAATTGTCATGTGTTTTTAAATGTTGGATGTACATTTATGAAGGTCTTCTTTTTGCTTGCAGCATGAAAGCTTTTCATGGCATGACACCTCTGTTGAAAACATCGGCAGTTATTATGGTCAAACCAGCCAGCCATGTGTTAGAGCATCATTTCAGGTTGTGAAGAAAAAACACTTGGCCACCAGGAGAGGTGCTTCTCAGGGTTCCCTTCACTCTGTGGGAATACGCGATGGAATGAAAGTCTGTGTTTTGGAATGATTGTATATATATACATTTTCACAAATGGAGCTGAATTCACGAGTTCGTGAGGGTGATGGTGCTTTTGAAGACTGCCTCCTCCCCATGAAGTGGGAGGTTACATATAGCCCCACACCTGAGGTCAGGCTCAGGGCTCACCTGCACTTAAGCTCAGATCTCTGAACCTCCCTGCCTCCTCTCCTAACTGTTATTTGCATGATTCCTGGAAAGAGGTTCAGTGGCAGGGGCTGATGAGAATGTGGCCACATCTCGGAGGAAGCTGGACATTTTTCATCAAGACAGATCTTTGCACAATTTCCCTGGCATCTTCCCTCAGCACTCGCTCAGAGGGGCCTGGTGTGTTTCCCTTGCCATGAGCTCAGACTTGCATCTCTGGGGTTTTAGTTGTGAAACCTATCTTGGCCTTTCAGACTATATTGCTATGTTTATTTCCTTCTGTCCTTTTTAGGAGTCCCATGAAAATGGCAGGGTTTTGTGTGGTTCTATGGAGACTCAGATGTTTAAATCCATAAATGAGCCTGTTCATATTTATTTCAACTGTTTGTCCTCCAAAGAGTCAGGGAAGTGGTGATGAAATGGTTCTCAGTTGCTACCCGATCCTTCTCCATCCTCTTCCTTTCTCAAAAGCATCGATTGCCCGTAACCATGGGGGCTGCTTCGTTGGGGGAGACATGCCAGCCTCTCTTACCGAGCCAGGACCCTGCTGCCAGCCAAGCTTGGATGCCAGAGGCTTTTCAGTGGGTGACGACATCTGATTCAGAAACAAGGCAGCCTGTTTTCAGGAGCCCAGATGGGGTGTGGAGCGATGACATTTAGAATGATCTTGTTTTTGATTGAAAACAGAGCATCTTCACTGGGAAAGAACAGAACCCGGAGGTCAGAGTGACTCCCCTGTTTCCCATCATCTCCCCCGATGCTGCATGCTGGCATCTGGGTTGGTGAACTGGGATCAACTCTATCTCATTGCAAAAGGATCTTGGTCTTAAAGAGGAGCCTAAAGACTGTCAGATACGAGAAGTTTCCACCTAAGGAAAATGTGGTGAATCCATGGGAGGCCGCCATGTATTTCCTTTCTGCAGATAAAGTGGGGGACATTTAGTGTGATTGTGAATGTTAACATTCCTCTAAGCTTTCAAAGTGATCCCTTATAGAGAGGCAGGATTCAGAGCTTAGCAGTGATGTAAGGACAAATTACTCTCTCTTCCCCTAAACCCATTCCCAAAGTGAACTCTAAGGTTCAAATGAAAACAAGAAGATAAGCCAAGTGCAGTGGCTCATGTCTGTAATCCCAGCACTTTGAGAGGCAGAGGCAAGAGGAATACCTGAGCCCATGGGTTCAAGACCAGTCCGCAGAACTTGGCAAGACCCCCGTCTCTACAGTAAATAAAAAAATTAGCTGGGTGTGGTGGTGCATGCCTGTAGTTTTAGCTACTTGGAAGGTTGAGGTGGAAGGATTGCCTGAGCCCAGCAGATTGAGGCTGTGGTGGCTGTGAGCGTGCCACTGTACTCCAGCCTGGGTGGCAGAGTGAGACTCCGACTCAAAAAAGAAAGAAAGAAAGAATACAAGATTTAAGTACATGTGTGCAAATGTGGGTCCAGGACCAAATGATTTATAACTTTTGGGTATTTAGACAATTTGCCTAAGTCCTTGTAGTTTGCTAGGAACCATCACAGATAATTATCTGGGGACAAGGATGAGGTTGTTCGGATATATTACCTGTCCTAACGAGGGGTGGGAGGTGTTGGTTAGCAACATTCATAGCACACATATTCATAGATGGCCTTCTCTGCAAGACGCCATCATGTGAACAAGGTGAAGACAGGCAGATCAAAGCCCCCATCCCCTGTCATAGAAGAGAAAGACACACACACATAACTACAACATCAAGCTGCACACAAATTTATGCCCAGAGAATGTTAGGATCAAAGTTGTGCAGCAGTTAAGAGGAAGGCAAGGATGGGCTTGGTTGCTCAGCCTATAATTCCAGCACTTTGGGAGGCCAAGGCAAGTGGATTGCTTGAGCTTGCGGGTTTGAGACCAGCCCAGGCAACTTGGTAAGACCTCATCTCTACAACAAATCAAAAAATTAGCTGGGCATGGTGGTGCATGCCCGTAGTTCCAGCTACTTGGAAGGCTGAGGCAGAAGGATCGCCGGAGTCTGGCAGGTTGATGCTGGGGTGCCTGTGAATGTGCTACTGCACTCCCGTCTGAGCGATGGAGTGAGGCTTCAACTCAAAAAAAAAAAAGGAAGGCAAAATCATTGCAGTAAAGTAGGAATGCTTCATGGAGTGCCCTTTGGGTTGCTTGAAGGTAGGTAGGATTTCAAAGACTAAGGAGTTGGGGAGGGGACTCAGGACAAGAATGGGCATGAGGGCAGATGACACAGCAACATGGGGAAGTCCAGCTGTTGTCACCCTGCTGAGTGACTGGAGAAGGTGTCCTAGGGAACATGCTGTGCTGCGGACCACCCCCTGCCCTCTCTCTGTTGTGGTTCTCTTGGACCTTACAGCACCTCGTTCTCCATGTTCCTTGGAGCTTGGCTGCAGACTTTCTCTCCACACTGTGCTTATCTCAGTCCAGCTGCCTGTGCACGACCCTTCCGACTTCTTACCTCCCAAGTCCTCTGTGTCAACCTCAGTAGCCTTCAGCCCTTCTCCCTTTGAACTATCCTCAGATCTTACCACAACCTCCAACCACTCCTCTGAAAGGTAGGATCCCCTGGTTCCATGCCTGACCAGGTGGCCATCATCTTCTGTCCTTCACGCCACACATTCCCTACTCTGGGTCTCTCCTGGCTGCGCCATTAAGACCTCTCGTCCCTGACTATCAAGGTCAGCCCCCTGTGCGAGTCCCCTTCTGTGTCATGTCTTTCCTGGTCTGGTCAGACCTCAGGCATCCCTGATCTGGTCCCTCTCTCACCAAGCTCCATGATCCTCTTGCCCTGGCTCTTCTGTCCTGCCTCAGTTGCCTCTGCTCTAAACCAGGCATGTTGAGACATCCCAGAGCAGCCATATGAAGACTCCTTAGGGATTCAGGGTCCTCCATGGCTGGTCTCTCATTGCTGCCCCACTCCCATCACGGGGTTCCTCTTCCAACCCACCCCCCAACTCTTGCCTTGGTGCCTTCTCCCCCAGTCACCTTCACCACCGCTGTCTCCTCACTACCTTGCGTATACAGCCCTTAAAACAACAAATCAAGGTCATAAGTGATGACCTCCCAGGCCCTCCCTAGCGTCTACAAGGATATTCATCAACACTGCTCTTTTTTTCCTTTTCTCCTGTATGAAGATTTCCTCCTCTTTCAAATTGTCGTGTCCACCAGCCTCCAAACAATCATCTTACTCTTGTCTGAGCAACCAAAAGTATTTCACTCTTTCTTTATTATTATTTTTTTAAATAAAAAAACCAGCCAGGCATGGTGGCTTACGCCTGTAATCCCAGCACTTTGGGAGGCAGAGGTGAGAGGATTGCCTGAGCCCAGGGGTTTGATACCAGCCTGGGCAACATGGCAAGACTTCGTCTCTACAATAAATTAAAAAATTAGCTGGGCATGGTGGCACACACCTGTAGCCCAGTGGGTCAAGACTGCAGTGGCCACAAGCATGCCACTGCATTCCAGTCGGGGTGAGAGAGTGAGATTCCAACTCAAAAAAAAAAAAAAAAGTCCTTACCGTTGTCTACAAGACTCTACACACCTGGCCCCTGTGTAACTCTCTGGGCCCTTCTAACCACCTCACCTCCTCCAGCCACACTGGCTTCCTTGCAAGTCTCAAAAATGCCAAGGATGCACCAACTTCTGGGCTGTTCCTTCTGATGCTCCTTCCACTGGGAGCGCCCTCCCTCAGGTCCCTGCTCACTTCCCTTCTTCCCTCAGGCTTGGCCAGAATAAATAAAAAATAAACAAACAAATAAATAAAAAAAAGTCTAGACACTAGGTATTGGGACCACAGAATGAGAGGATGAAGAGTGGGCAGTGGGGGTAAGAAAATGGGAGAAGATGGGAGTAACAGAGTACTTGTTCACCTGAGTCCACAAACAGGAAGCTTTTTTTTGAATCAGGGTCTTACTCGGTCAGAGTATGGTGGCACGATCACAATCACTGCTACCGCAGCCTCCGTCTCCTGGGCTCTGGTGATCCCTCCACCTCAACCTCTCGAGTAGCTGGGACTATAGGCATGCACCACCATGCCCAGCTAATGTTCTGATTTTATTGTAGAGACTTGGTCTCGTCATGTTGTCCAGGCTGGT